GCACTTTTCAAATGATGTAACAAACACGAGGAACAAAATCTTGTCATCACAAGAGGAGACATGTCACTAGAGGGCGCTATTTAGATAAAACACAATACTTACTTTAGTACATGCCACCAATTGTGAGGTATTTAGTGCACATGACGTCGCCGATTGGATGACTTTATTCTGCGACTGCTGATCGTCGGCTTTGCTGGCAACACTCTTTGCTTTCAGAACGAGAGTTGCAGTGGCGTTGGCGACTGCCTTGGCTAGTGACATCAACATATCCTGCAGATTAAATGCATGAAAAAATATTGTTAGATGAAATGCATGCTGGGTAATTCCAATGTTTGTATATATAGGTAATTTTCCGCTGCAAAATCTCGCATAATGCGCGAAAGACACAGGACGCACATGTACTGCAAATCACCATGGTTACACAAGTCAGGGGAACAGTGGACTTAATGACAGGGGAGAATGGGATACTATTTGAGGGGCAAAACCAAGTCACATGGCTCTCTCAACCTTGATGAGATCTCAGCGGTCATTCAAATACATGACATGTAGAACAGCTCATGAAAAAACAAGACAATTACCATGACTACAGTAAATATTATGGGATAACCTCATTATAAATGAATTCAATTAAAAAAGTAGCAAGTCTTAAGTAATCATAAACACCAGTACTGTGTTTTTTTTTATAATTTATTCATTCATAAAGTCAACCCGGCATTGACATGTGACATGTCAAGTGCACAGAACTATATTTTGTCTACTCTCTGATGTATGTAATCTTGGATATAATAAACAAAATAATTTTTTTGCTCAAAATATTCAATATTAGAATGAGTGACAAAAAAACAAGTACATGTATGACAAGTATGGCTGCCGAGGGCGCTATCACATTTACCTGGAATCTAGGGTCCACTTCATCCAACTCGCCAATCTGTTTCTGTACATCGGCAGCTGCTTGTCCAACGTTACTAGCGGCTGTTAGTAAACTCTGACGAGGCTAAAATTGACAATACACGAAAAAAAGATTAAATACCAGCACTTTATTATTAATGTGGTTTGTTGCTATAATAACTGATTTCTCTCTTCATCTCAAAATAATTCTTTCTCTCTGGTTGCCAATTTGAAAATTGAACTGATTTGATTTCTGGAAACACACTGTCAATGAAATATGTAAATTGATGCAACCACTATGGAGATATGTAAATTGATATATTCACCATGGAGATATGTAAATTGATATATTCAACATGGAGATATGTAAATTGATACAATCACCATGGAGATATGTAAATTGGCATAACCATTATCGGGATATCCGAATTTAGTCAAAATATGTAAATATTGAGAGCATAAGTATATTTATTGTGAAAATATTAGTTTTAAAATTAAAATTGCATCAAAACAAATTTTTGTGATTTTTAGAATTAAAGTGAGGGAGTCATCATCTACACATGTGACAGACACCTATGACAATGTTTACAAACAGGCATCTACCCATGAGCCTTTGCATTTTTAGCGGGTGTTGTTATCGTCCTTTGAGACTCAATTCTTGCATGTAAACAGGTGACCGCTCAATAGGTGATTTTCCGTACAATTGCCAGATCTCGCGAGATGCATGAAAGACGCGTGTCGAACGTCTGCCGCAAAAATCGAACGATTTGATTTTGAACTCGAGTTTCCTTATTTCGTAGCTCACACCGACCGGCCGATCTTCGACATAGGAATATTGCTTCCGAATACCCTTACTTAATCGAAATTGCCTATCATGAAATGTGGACAGCACATTATTAAGCATGGAAATGTCCCCAAAATACTTTTGCGTTTGTCGAATCCCACGCGACGTTTGACGTCACTACGACGCTATGACCTTTGTTTGTCCTGTTTTTATGTTCGATTTCACGCATTACGCGTGATTCTCGCAGTGTACGGAAAATGGTCTATTTAAAGATGAATTTTAGGATAATCCAAAAATCACAAAAAATTGATTGACAAATTAAAATGGCCTACATACTCCCGTCACCAAACATTTTATTAATATCAACAAATATGTAACCACTGTAAACATAAACAAATGCACTGAATTTAACAAAAAACATCAACAAAATATTCCAAACAAATCAAGCTTAACAAAAACAACCAAAACATATTAATTAATTCCAATTAATCAGCTCAATGTTTATACAACCAAACTT